CTCGGTTGGGTCACGTGAAGGGCCTCGGTTGGGTCACGTGACAGGCGTCGGTTGGGTCACGTGAAGGGCCTTGGTTGGGTCACGTGACAGGCGTCGGTTGGGTCACGTGAAGGGCATCGGTCAGGTCACGTGATCAGTCTCGGTTGGGTCACGTGACGGGCCTCTGTTGGGTGGAATTGGCCTCGGCTGGGTCACGTGAACGGCCTCGGTTGGGTCACGTGAACGGCCTCGGTTGGGTCACATGACAGGCCTCTGTTGGGTGGGATTGGCCTCGGTTGGGTCACGTGAACGGCCTCTGTTGGGTGGGATTGGCCTCAGTTGGGTCACGTGACGGGCCTCTGTTGGGGCGATTGGCCTCGGTTGGGTCACGTGACGGGCCTCTGTTGGGTGGAATTGGCCTCGGTTGGGTCACGTGAACGGCCTCGGTTGGGTCACGTGACGGGCCTCGGTTGGGTCACGTGACGGGCCTCGGTTGGGTCACGTGACGGGCCTCGGTTGGGTCACGTGACGGGCCTCGGTTGGGTCACGTGACAGGCCTCGGTTGGGTCACGTGACGGGCCTCGGTTGGGTCACGTGACGGGCCTCTGTTGGGTGGGATTGGCCTCGGTTGGGTCACGTGAAGGGCATCAGTCAGGTCACGTGATCAGTCGCGGTTTGGTCACGTGAAGGGCCTCTGTTGGATCGGATTGGCCTCGGTTGGGTCACGTGAAGGGCCTTGGTTGGGTCACGTGAACTGCCTCGGTTGGGTCACGTGACAGGCCTTGTTTGGGTCACGTGAAGGGCCTCGGTTGGGTCACGTGACGGGCCTCGGGACGGAGTGACCATGTTGTCCTCCTGGGCTTCTCCTTCTGCACTGAGGGCTGGCCTACATTCGCTCGGCTCGTCTCCTTTGGCTTTAATGAGCGCTGCGATGTGTTTGCTTTGAACTGTACACACACACACTTAATTAGCTGTCCTACTCGACTTCACACTTATTTCTTTCTCGTCCCTCCTTCTCCTACTCTCCCTTCATCCTTATTTCCATTTTTTTTACCTTGAAATAAGAACTAGAGGTTTATGGATGTGTCACACTATATATTTTATAATCAACTAGTTTTGGGGTTTTGGGCTTTTTACAGACAAATATTCAACAAATTAGGACACACACACACACATATACTATTAGGAACACCAGACTAATACTGTGTTTGATCCCCTTTCACCTTTAGAACTGCCTTAATTCTGCATGGCATTGATTCAACAAGGTGCTGAAAGCATTCTTTAGAAATGTTGAACCGCGGCTTGTTTTTGTTTTGTTTTGAATAAATAAAATATTGATTGGTAATTGATACCTGAATTATATTTATTAGTATATATTATCTGCGTATTTATTAACCCTCATCTCCATTAAAAGCATTCTGCGAAAGAGAAATTTAATTTACAAACATTACCCATCATAAACATCTTAAAGATGATTCGTAAATATCTGTAATAACAAACAGCATTAAAGACGTATTGTAGCAAATTCTCAAAAAAACGTCTAAAATTCTACAAAATCATGCACATCATAGATGTCTCTATACTCTATGTGTGCTATATTAATCTGTCTATTCAATTTACCTTTATATTGAGTTGAGTTCGCCCGTGGGCAAGGGAAAGGTTGTCAAAAACACTTTGACTTACAATTATCATCGGCTCTGAGAGCCACTGCAACTTAAGTATATTCTTTCCATAATACGTACTCTTTTTAAAAGTATACTGAGGTTCACTTTTGTTCACAAGGGAAACAAACAGAGTGTGTGTTGGTGTGTTTGCAGTGTCTGCTAGATCATGTTTCTTCTGAAAGCTAATAAGCCCTTGGTTTTCTCTCTCTACAAAGTCAAACTCTCAGAAAGAGGATGTTTTCTTGGCAGAATTGCTGATCTGACATAAAAACAAAGGTGCATTTGGCCACATCTTCATCTTTCCTCCTCCTCTCTCACACACACAGGTGGTCATAATATAGTTTTGTCTAGAATACAACAATATGGAAGCAAAACCATGATGAGCTTCCCCTCATTGTGAAGAAAGATTGACGTCATTTATTCAATCTGAATCCCTCGAAAGGGAAGAAATCAAATCTCCTGTCGTCCTGTTTAGCTAATCCCCGTCCTCTGACATTTCTTGGCGTATTTGCGATTTACATTTATTGTTATTTTTGCTAATCAGAATTCACGGAGATCCCTAAGCGGGCTTGTTGGAGGGGAGCACAATAATGATGGATAAATAAAAATGAATAATCTTTCAAATGTCATGGAGCTCTGGGAGTGTTTTCAGATGTGTTTCATGACGACACGCGTTTGATAACAGACATATGGACAAAGATGGAGTGACTCGAGAAGAAGTGACGACATGTAGAAGCAACAGGACATTTCTGAAGGCTTAGTTGACGAGTTTATGTATCTGACGTGGAGTTAATATCTTGTCATACTATCTAGTCATTGATTAGCATATTCTGTCATGATGATCTATAAATCGTGTTCTTGGGGGCGGGACTTTTTATTTTAGTGTTTAATGTTTAGTGTTGTCAAATTTTAGTGTTAGTGATGTCTCGTGAAGAAGCTCGTTGTAGTTCCTTCCAGCTGTTTGTTGTAGTTCTTAAAAAGTGAAATCTCTGTAAAAGCAAATCTCTCCCTTTGCTTTGAACTTTGAGCGTCGTAACTTTGCAGATGTTGTTTATCCTCTAACAGCGACATTACACACTGACTAAAAGTGAAATCATCAGCAACCTCCCCTTTAAACATTTCCGAGATCTCCTCTTGTGCTTCTGGGATGAAAGAGCGTAACAGAGAATAAAAGTTGACCACCGCTCGCCTCAGTGCAACCCGTCTTGTTTCCAGCTGTTTGTGTTCGGCCCGTAAGGCCTGGTTTCTTCACCGTAACACTCGTGCTGTTGTGGAGCGGCGACTCTCTCTCTCTGTGGTCGGGGAAGGAGAGAGAACGACAGCTTTGATCAGCGTATCAGGAGCGAAGAGGTTAGGCCGGAGGAGTTTGAGCTCTTTATTCCAGGAGATGAAACGAGAGAATCCCACAGAAGTGAAGCTGCTGACCCGTGAGTGGGGGGGCGGAGCCTAAAACTCCCCCGGTCGCCATGGAGACGCCGCAATGTAAACAAAAACTGTAACATGTAAACAGTGAACTGAACGTCTCGTAGGCCCCATCCCCACTACCGCGTTTTAGTTTAGAAACGGGGAATTAAAACGAATACGCTTTAGCTGGGTATTAGAATGGATCTCCGTCCACATTAAACCGTCTGAAAACGCGGATCACGTGACCGTTCACCAACACTGGGCATGCAGATTGACTCTTCCTCAGATTTGAGTAGCTAAACTCTGCAAAGAGCGCCGCTCCATGTGTGGTCGATACCGCCGCTGTACCGTCGTAGATCGATGCATAAGAGTTACCCTCATGTCGGCGGTTATAACATTGTCAAATGCAGAATTTACTTGCACAACATCTGCTAGCAAAGTCAGTAACGCTTGTAATTCGTTATCCATGTTGCAGTCTCTAACGTAACTGGTAGTCCAGGCTGTTGTATGTTTTCTTCCGGGGACGGGTCATGTGATGGGTGAGTGACGAATCAGGGAAGGATACGTCATGACTGATGACACCCAATCAGAGAGCCGAGCGTGAGCCTCCGCGTCATCGTTTCTAAAGTCCTCCGTTTGACCCGTCTTCACTAAAACGCCCTCCGGAGATTCAAAACGCAAAACGACAGCGTTTCTAAACTTCTCCGTTTTCGGTCTTCGCTTGTGCCGTTTTAGACTGGACGGGTGCAAACGTAGCAAAAGGTCGTCGTTTCTAAACTAAAGCGTAGTGGTGTGGATGTCCCCTGTTTACACCGGGACAAATTTCGTGCGTGATATTCGCCGACATTTAACGTCTCATGAATTAACAACGGGCGCCAATGTGAGTGTGCACACCGATGCGTAAAAGCGTCATTTAAAAAAAAAAAACGCCTCGGGTTAGTTTTTTTAGTTTGACGTGCCGCGTCGAAAACTATCCGACCAAAGAGATTGGCGCTTTTGCTCACGTGTTTGGAGCTTCTGAAGTTACAGTAATAGACAACTCGGGGGCGCTCAAGCACAAAACGGTCTTGCCGAGCACACATACGGAACGGAGAAGAAGATATACGCCAAGTAGCGTCGCCGTCTACGCAGCCTGGAAGAAATAAGACGAGGAAGATGAACGAAGAGCCGCTGGTCTCGTTGGTGTTAGAACATAAAGAAGTATTTGATAAACGCGACTGCGACTACAAACATCTTGATAAAAGGGAACTGATATGGAGTGGTATTGCAGAGCAAATGGGCACCATCTAATGTCAGGGAATGAATTTGCATGTTCACTCGGCTCATCGTTTGGTGTGAACACAAAAAATGCGTTTTAAAAACGCTGGCGAATAGCGCGTGCTGATATTTGTCCCGGTGTGTCTGGGCCTTAAAGGGATACTCCACTTTTTTTGGAAATAGGCTCATTTTACCACTCCCCCAGAGTTAAACAGTTGGGTTTCACCGTTTTCGAATCAATTCAGCCGATTTTTCTGATATTTAGAAGAATATTAGTAACCAGACAGTTTCTGGTCTCATTGACTTCCATAGTATATTTTTTTCCTACTATGGAAGTCGATGAGACCAGAAACTGTCTGGTTACTGATATTCTTCTAAATATCAGAAAATCGGCTGAATACATTCGAAAACGGTAAAACTCAACTGTTTAAAAATGAAAAAAAATAGTGTAGTATCCCTTTAAGGCTCTTACCGCAAGCTAAGCTCAAAGGTCGGCAGTCCGGCTGAGTGATTCGGACACCTTTTCTAACTTGCCTCAATGGCAGAAGTGTCCCAATCACCCCGAACTCTCCCGATATACTTCCAGAAGCGAATGAACGGTCACTTTGAATCTCTCTCTGTGCACTGGCGTTCAGTGTGTCCAAACTCCAGCGCTGGAACATGTTGTTCAGAGTGTAAGAGATGTAAAATGCTCGTATGCGTCTGGCCCACAGAAGCCAGACTCTTGAGAAACTGTTGGAGGTGAGAGCCAAGATGAACGTGCGTCCTTGTGTGTCTTTGGCAACTGAGAGAGAGAGAGCAAGACAGAAAGAGATGAATAAGGGCTTACAGAGGAAGATGATGGGTGATGAGAGACATTTGGGATATATCTATAACAGAGGGAAACAAAATCACATCATCAAACAATAGTAAGAGAGAAATATGAGCCTACAGGCCTTGAGGGACAACAGCGCTGAAATGGTAGACTTTTACAACATTTATCTTCATCAGGACTCCTTTACTGAGAGAGAGAGAGGAGAGAGAGAGAGAGAGAGCAATGCACTTATGCGGATCAGATAGGAGTTCATGTAAGGAAAAATGTAACCTCATTTTAATCACCAGTCACCACCAATAATTAACATTTTTGTAATGTTTTTGCTAAGTCTCTTCTGTTCATCAAGTCTGCATTTATTTATTATTACAATTTATAAGAACTGTTTTCTGTTTGAATATATTGCAAAACGTCATTTATTCCCGTCAACGCTGAATGTTCAATGCCCTGTCAATTAAAACATTTAATTTAATTTAATTTAATTTAATTTAATTTAATTTAATTTAATTTAATTTAATTTAATTTAATTTAATTTAATTTAATTTAATTAATTTAAATAATTAAAAATCTATTTTATTTTATTTTTAAATAAAATAAATTTAATTTAATTTAATTTTATTTTATTTATTGTCTGTTTATTGTTATTATTATTATTAATGTATTTATTTTATTTTTATGTATTTTAGTTTGTTTTATTAATGTCTCATTTCATTGTAATTTCATACATTTTTTTTAATTAATTCATTTTAATTTTTAAATAACTAAAAGTTGCATAATTCCACTACCTATAATGTGATACATGCCTGTGAGGCCCACAAGCATGATGTAATATGATACACAATATGGTTTTGGGTGGGTCAGAGCAGAACAGTGGTCATCGGTTCAGGCTCGTTCGAGATCAGGATATATTGGACTCTTACAGTCAGGAAATCAGCATCTGCTCATGTGGTAATTTAGTCTGATTTAAACTGTCTCTGACCTTCGTTAATGAGGCCCGAGCGAGACTGATGGTCTCCTCGAGGTCCTGTAGACCAAACACACGTTCCCCTTCTTCAGCTCAGTACAGAAGTAAACAGAAGCGACTCAGACGTCTTATTAACCTTTAGAAGAAGCGTGTGCGTGTGATACTGTATGTGCTGCACAATCCACTCTTCTCTCTCGCAGGTTTCTCTGCTCCTCTACACACTAACAGATCTGGCCAACACAGTGTCCTGTATCTCAGGGGCCGCATCAATACATCAGTATATACACACACACATCGTGGCGACCGGCGAGCGTCATCTCTGTGCCTGTCTGAGAGTTACCAGGGGAAATAAGCCCAGATTTCGCAGTGCTTTGCTATGCTATTGACTTTCTTTGGATCATGGCATGTTTGAGCTGATACTTACATAGACCGCACTCACACACATTAATATTGTACCAGCTGTAGTATTGATTTTTAAGCATACGAAATTACCGCCCGTCACATGTGTGTCGACACTATTTTCATCTTTTGGCTCCAAGGAGGATTTGGATATTTTCTAAATATCACAGTCGCCCACCTTTAAAGTTACAGCAAAGACAACTTATACTGTGACGTATTTTGTTGTATGGTTTTTGAATATAATTTAGTGAAGATAAAAGAAAGTTCACTTTTATTTTGACATTTTTTATTATTTTATTTTATTATTTTTTATATATATATATATATAATTGATATTATTTATGTGTGTGTGCATATCTAATTATATATGCATATATACAGTATATATATACAGTATATATATATATATATATATATATATATACACTCTATATACACACTCCAGAGGTCACACACACCTTTCACACACTCTTCATTTAAACTATGACCAGTGAACCTGTGCACCGGCCCCTTCTCCTTCAACCTGCAGTCCTCCAGAGGTCACACATACTACGCATATATATATATATATATATATATATATATATGCTGTCAAATGAGTAATCATGATTAATCACATCCAAAATAACCAGTTTGTGTTAATATATTATATTAATATATAATATATGTGGGTGCACTGTGTATAATTATTTTATATATGTAAATACACACACATGCTACAAACATATTTAAGAAATATTTGAATGGATATAATGTATATATATTTATATATAATTTATATGATATGTAAATATAAATATTTTATATAGAAATAATATTTTTCACCCACATATATTATGTAAACACAAACTTTTATTTTGGATGCAATTAATCGCGATTAATCATTTGACAGCCCTAATATATATATATATATATATATATACACACTGTATGTTTGTGTGTGTGTGTAAATGTACATATATATATATATATATATATATATATACTCCATATACTTTTATGTTAGATCAATTTGACAGCAC